CTTAATGCAGTGTGGTGCCTGGCCGGCTTTATGTCCACATAGATATATAATTTATTGTGTTTGTGCTTGAGTTAGTGGATTGCCATGCTTCTCTGTATGGGAGCCACTGAAGAGCCACATTGCATTGAGGCTCTGGCTCTCCTGGATGCGTCCTGGCACACAGAGTAAAGGGTTTGTTCCAAGTTGGCCTCCTCCCTAAGAAGATGCTGCTTAATCAGCAGAAGTAGGACTAAAGCCAGAGGGCCTTTTAAAAATGAGAGGCAGATGTTTATTCTTGGCAGAACTTTACAGATGAGACCAGTACCACAGGGCTGTTTTGTTTGGTTTTATTTTATTTTTTATCATTTGGCAATCCAAATCATAAACGGGAAACAGTCTTTAATTGGTCCTTTTGTTCAATTAACAGTTGTGACAGCCATTTGTTTCTTGGTATCCTAAGACACAAAATGAGATTCTTTCTCAAGAAGAGATTTGGAATCATTCTCCTTCTTTCAAAATGTAAAGTTAAGCCAGGTATGATGGCACCTGCCTACAGTCCCAACACTAGGGAAGCAGAAGTGGGAAGATGGGAAGTTACGGCAAGCCCGGGCTATCTAGTGATAGCTGCTTTAAAAACCACGTGAAAACAAACAAAACAAATGAAAAATTATTCCTTGCAAATCCAATTGCTTCTAACACCAGTGTCTTGCAGGAGAAGCTAAAATCATAGCTGTCTTTCTTAGGAAACATTTTTTCAATAATATTTAGATTCTCTTAAGAACAATAATACCTATTAATGCAGAAAAGTCAGCACCCTCAGAAAAATACTGAAGCAGTTAAATCATTAATGGAGATATCCTACTGTGAGCATGAAAGCATTCTGCAGGCTTTTCAAGTTGTGAGTGATGGGACTCTGGCTAGGCATCTTCTTGTTGATGGGTAGAGCATACTGGTGCCTGGTTACTCTAATATTTGATAGCTAACAGTGGCTTTCTGTTCTTGTAGTCCATCCCTGAGATGATGGGCTAAGCTAGCAAGTGGAACAGATTCTCTCCATCTAACATTTAACACCAACATCTAACATTTAATGTTGCCACTACTTTTGTTCTCTAGATCAGCGAGTATGCTGGTGTGAAATGGCACTCGGGGTTCCTCCCTGTAAGACAGAGCTCTAACACCAGATTTTTGAAAGGAATCTGTTGTCTAAAAAGCACTTAAAACCACCGAGTAAAAAGAAAGGGTATGAATTTAAAATACTAAAAGTAGCCAGGCAGAACCATGATTCTTCAGCCAACTGCTCATTTATCACCTTTAGCCAGGGAGGGAGGGAGTTCAGTGTTTGAGAAGGGGAGGGGACTGGGCTTTCTTGGATATATTGGAGTAATGCTCTCAGCCCTGGATCATCTCGGGAACTTGGAGTACTCATAAGATTCTGCCATATCCCCCAAACCAATGAAATTTCTGGCCAATGGGATGCAGATGGTTTTAAGAGCAGCCAAAGCTGGAAGTCTCACATCAGAGGCTGCCATCTTCACCTCAGGGAATAATGTGCTGCTGATTGTCTGCTTTGCTCTCTCTTAATACTTTGCTTCTGATCTAACCATGATCCACATTTTGGTTTCCCAGACTTTGGCTTGGAGCAACTCTCCTTATTCTCAGATTGATTTCCAATCCCTAGGCTGTATCTGTTTCCCAGATTTCCAAATACATCTTTCAATTTACAGTGATCTCTGAACTTTAATAATTTTTTAAAAACCACAGCATGTCTGGTTGATACTAAAAAGTGACATATGTACTAGTTTTTTTCCCTCTACTCTCTAAATATCTGTAAACTAGAGATGAAAATCAACCCCTCATTTCCCTAAAAGATCTATAAGTTCATGGGAGATTATTACTTATTAAATTAAAAAAAATTGTCTTTAGAAGTTGTACTAAGTGGTTTTAATTCAACATGTCAGTTCATGGGGTGCTGTGTACCTTGAACAATATCATCCCATGACAGACTATTTCTAGGACTTTTGGTTAACATTTCTTGAATAAACGTTTTAGTTTTAGTATTTTTTTTTTTTTTTGTAGATCATGGGGCTTGAATTCGGGGCCTCAGCTCTGTCCCTCAGCTCTTCAGCTCAAGGCTAGCGCTCTACCACTTGAGCTACAGCACCACTTCTGGTTTTCTAGTGGTTTATTGGAGATAAGAGTCTCACGGACTTTCCTTCCCTAGGCTGGCTTTGAACTGTGATCCTCAGGTCTCAGCCTCCTGAGTAGCTAGGATTACAGGCATGAACCACCAGCGTCCTGCTTAGTTTTAGTATTTTTTTGTTTGTTTGTTTGCACCAGTCCTGGAGCTTGAATTCAGGGCCTGGGTGCTATCTCTGAGATTTTGTGCTCAAGACTAGTGCTCTACCACTTTGAGCTAAAACTCCATTTCCAGCTTTTTGGTAGTTAATTGAAATTAAGAATCTCATGGATTTTCTTGCCTGGGCTGGGTTTGAACCGTGATCCTCTGATCTCAGCCTCCTGAGTAGCTAGGACTACAGGCAGGAGTCACTGGTGCCTGGCTAGTTTTTAGTATTTTAAATTCAACTATTTTCTTTTTATTCAGTGGTTTTAAGTAATTTCAGGCAATTGATTCCTTTCAAAATTTGGTGCAAGAGATAAACTCTTTAGAGAAAAGTGCTTTATAAATAGTTTTTACCCACAGCCAGTAGAGGTTCCAGCTTTTCTGGAGTCTTTCCATGGACCTGGCAAAATTTTGTTTTATTTGTTAATCTTGCTGTTATAAGGTTAGGAAGAAAGAAAAAATTTAAAAATGAGGGAGGAGAAATAGGTAATTTGGGCAGGATTTTTCTTAGAAGCTACATTGGGAGCAGGATCTTTCAGTATCAGGACATCATTTGAAGGGACAAAGCCAGCCAACAGGTAGGTGGAACATGACTTTCTGTCCTCCCTCATCCTGTCCTGGGCAAGATCCGGTAAACCCTATCTTGGGACTGTGGTGGCAAAAAAGCAAGTGCAATAGCCTAATTGACCACTAGATGACACCCGCCACAAAACCAACTAGTTTCTTGCTTTGCCCCTAGTGATCCTGAGTCCAGACAGGCTATAGTGACTTCCAGTCAGTCATTATGAGTTAGTCCTGAAATGCCTGGAAGGTGTGTCTGATGTATTTTCTTTCAATAGAAATAAGAAACAAGGGATAGTGGAAAGGTACATTTGTTTCTAAATAACAAAAAGAGGAGGAACCATCTTTTTGGTTCAATCAAAAGAAAAAAGGGTCAGATTCAACTCCAGTGTTCCCATTTCCCTACTAACACTTCCTTAGTTTTTGAGATTTTATAATTGCCAAATGTGGCTTTTGGTACATTGATGAAATTTTCTTTTTTCTGGCTCTGATAGAAGGCATTGTAGGCTTCCAAGGCGAAAGTCTTAGAATATGATAATATTTTATTTTATTTTTATTTTTTTGTCGGTCGTGGGGCTTGAATTCTGGGCCTGGGCGCTGTCCCTCAGCTCTTCAGCTCAAGGCCAGCGCTCTACCACTTGAGCCACAGCGCCACTTCCAATGATAATATTGTAAAACATTATACAACTCATTGTAATGATGACTCTAAAATTTACTTCCAATTAACTTTGTGCTTTCAATAGAAGTTTGGGTGCATGCTATTGTTTATCATTAGAGCATTTTCCATGGTTGAAATATATTTTATTTACATTCTCTCATTTTCTTGGCCTTCAGCCAAGTTGGTTACTATAGTATACAATAGCTCCCTTTGTTTTAGGGCCACTCATTGCCTGGCTGGCCCCATCAAATCTTTAATACATGTACATATTTTAGTAAAAATGTATCATAAATTCAAAAAAAGAATGTATCATAAATCCATTTATCTTGGTTGCAAAAAACAATTTTTGCCATGTGCTTACACCCAAAATTCTAAATACTCAAGAGGCTAAGATCTGAAGGTCATGGTTTGAACCTAGACTGGACATGAATGTCTGTGACATCTTATCTCCAATTAGCCACCAAAAAGTTGGAAGTGGAAGTATGGCTGAAGTAGCACAGCACCAGCCTTGAATGAAAAAGCTAAGAAACAGCATTCAGGCCCTGAGTTTAAGCCCCAGAAGCAGTGCTCACGTGCACACACATGCACACGTGCGCGCACGCACGCACACCCACACACAAAATGCCAGTATGTCTTTCAACATTAAACAGTGTCAACATTACATTTTATTACTAAAAATAAATATAGTCATGCTCCAAGCTGTAAATATTAGTAATTCAAAGATCCTTCTCAGGAGGCTGACATCTGAGGATCACCGTTTGAAGCCAGCCCAGAAAGGAAAGTCCAGTAAGCCTTCTGTCTCCAATTAACTAGCAAAAAAATCCAAAAGTGGAGCTGTAGTTCAAATGATAGCGAGCTAGCCTTGAGCACAAAAGCTCAAGGATAGCTCCTCTGTCTGGAGTTTAAGCCCTAGAACTGGCACCAAAAAAAAATTTAAAAATAAATAATAAAAATTTAAAGATCTAGTGTAAGATAATTGGACAACAACAATATAAAATCATTTCCGTCTTTTTCTTGATTACTGGGTTTTGAAACATGTTCTTGGATATAAATAAGTGTCACAGGAAAAGAAGCCTTCTTTCTTTACTCCAAATGGTAGGAACTTTTTCTGGCTGAACTTGGCGTTGTTGACATCCTGAACTGGGAAAATGGCCCTCTAGGGAGAAAATGGCTTGATATGTTTAATACAGGCTTCCCCTCCGAGCCCAACCCAGGGAAGTCCTGTTGGTTTGGGAAATGAGTAGCAGCTCTCTCTGTTATAAATGTGGAAAGAAATGAAGTAGGGAGGCCAGACTCTCTTAGACTTTCTATTTAGAATTCCTGTGGAACCAGTCACCTTGTGGGAGGGTTTCCTGGGGAGATGCTATCCCCTGAGAACTGGGGCAGTGGGGTTTGGGGGATCCTTACTGGGCTATGAGTCCTGGGCCTGCTGCTCAGGCCTGCTGTTTCTGTTTCTTGCAGGTCCACAGCTTTAAGGGCTACTGGGAAAGACTGAACACCAACCTCCAGTATGTCAAGTACACCAAGCCACGCTTACACTATCACAACAGTGTGGTCGGGAGAGAGTGGCACAACCTGATCTCTGAAGAGGTACTTATGCGTCAGGGAGATCAAAGCGGCCAGCAGGGCCACCATGGGTGCTGTGCCAGGCAGTGGTGGTCCCGAATGAACTTCGCTGATCTTCCAATGGATAGGCAGAGAAGTGGCAACCATCTTTGTTCTCTGATGATAAGACTGAAGGGCAAATCGAACATAGCACCTTTGTAGGGAAATGCAATTAATGCCTATATCTCCAATGTATTCTTGTATAGCTAAATATTAATTAAATGTTACTTGTATAGCTAAATATTAATTTTGGAAAATCTAGGTATTCTAGCCAGTCATCACTGGCTCATGCTGAATTCTAGCTATTTAGAAGATAAGAACTGAGGAGCTCAGTTCAAAGCCATCCTGGAAGAAAAGTCTGAGAGACTCCATTCTCTAATTAACCAGCAAAATACTGGATTGGAGGTGGGACTCAAATGGTAGAACACCTGCTATAAAGCCAAGTGAGAATGTGAGGGCCTACTCCATAAGGGGGAGGCTTTGGGGTGATGGAAGAGTCCCTCATCTTGACTGCGATGGTACGTTGTGGAATGTGATGCTATACATGTGAGATAATGATGTCAAGCTATACAAAAACAAGTACCAATGTTGAGTTCCTGATTTTAACAGTGTAGTCAGGTAAGGAATGTAAGGAGAGACCAGATGAGGATATGAGTCCCTTTGTGTGTGTGTGTGTGTGTGTGTGTGTGTGTGTGTGTGTGTGTGTGTGTGTACATATATATATAACTGCTCTATATAGTTATATATATATATAGGTTTTATATATATATATAACTGCTATATATAGTTGATTTGAAACTTCTAGGAATTCTGTTGCTTCAGAATAAAACGTTTAAAGTTTTTAATAGTTTTTTTCATGACCTAAAGAAGTTTGTTTCTTCTCTCTAAAACTCTTAGCTGTATTGTGCTATGTTTTTGATGTAAAGGAAGTGCCGTCCCAAAGAACCTTCACTTCCCATGTTCTTGACATATTCTCACTTCCAGAAAACAGGAAAAAGAAGGGCCACAGCATATGTGAGGAATATTCTTGATAATGCTCTAAAGTAAGTGAAATTTAAGGTTCTCATTTCTGTAAGACAATTATCTTTTATTAACCTTGGTGGTTACCATTTTGGAAGTAGCTTACTTTTGTTATGTGTCCTCAGCAAAACGATGCTGTCAGCTTCATGCACACAACTGCTTGGGCCCTATTCTGTTTTGGTGTTAGAGTTTCTAGGGGAAGAACTTATAGATTATGCTTTCTCTATTTGCACACTAGGATGGATGTTTTATAGTGTGTAAATGGGAAGAAGACTCTTGTTATACAAGTACTTTTGAGAACAAAGGTAGATAGTAAGTTGATTTAAATTCTTTTTTTGGGGGGTGGGGTCCGGTCATTTTTTTCTTATGTGGTGCTGAGGAATCGAACCCAGGGCCTCATGCATGCAAGGTAAGCGCTCTACCATTGAACCACCTTCCCAGCTCCAGATTTAAATTCTTAAAACAAACAAAAACTACCAGCCCCCACTGGCTCACACCTGTAATTGTGCTATTCAGGAGGCTGAGATCCGTGGATCTCAAATTGAAGCTATCCCGGATAGGAAAGCCTGTGAAACTCTTATCTCCAATTAATGATCAAAAAGCCAGAAGTGGAGCTGTGGCTCAAGTGGTAGAGAGCTACCCTTGAGCAAAACATCTCAAGGGCAGCACCCAGGCCTTGAGTTCAATTCCTAGGACCAGCACAAAGAAACAGACAACAAAGTCCAATCCTGTTTGTGTGCTGGGGAGCTTGCTTTTATTTTGAAAGTGTATTTTCTGGATACATGAGTCATCTTAGAGTGCTCAAAGTATAGGCCTAATGCCAGCCTCTGTTCTATTTTTTGTCTTTATTAGTCGCAATAACTGAGAGCTGCAATTGTTCTAAATTATTGCCTTTGATGGCACTAACAGGCTTTGAGATGTATAATTGCTTAATGTGGCCTTTTGTACATCACTTAAGTTTTTTTTTTTGAGGTTTCCAGTAGCCTGAGAAGAGTTTCTGTACTTTGATGGGTTTTTAGAGAAGGTATAATGTTGTGGCTTAATCTTTTTTTTTTTAAATGCTTCCTGTGTGAATAACATGACTAATTTCTTTGTAGGGTGATTTCTAACATAGAAGCAAGGAATTCAGGTAAGAAAAGACCTGTAGGCTTCGTATTCTAGAATAAAGACCTGCAGGTCATTGCCTCTTGAAAAAAAAAAAAAAAGAAAAGAAAAGACCTGTAGGAAAGCTTTCTGGATGTTAGTCTTTTGTTCTTAGCACTGTTTTTCCTACCAATGGTTGGCAAAGAAATTACTTCCGGTAGGGTAACCAAGGCAACGCCCTTTGAAGTGACATCCTTAGTGGCCATTGCTACAGCTGTGTTGGCTCCAGGGCCTTCAGGATCAGCTGCTGAGTGTGCTTCTGCTGGAGGAGTCACTGGGAGCTTGCCCTTGGTTTTTCTCATTTCTCCTTGCACAGTAGCTCTAATCAACATGCCCTCTGGCAGTGCTCACAGTGTGCATTTGGGCAGTCCTCTTGGTCTGGACTACTTTCCCTCCAGCTGTGTGATCACACGGGGCCTTTCATTTGGATGTGCCTTGCATTTTGCCTAAAAGTTGGGTGTGTACTGGGCAAGGTTTTAATCCAGGGGAGGAGACTCAGCTCTGGAGCCAGAGAGAGAACTAGACTTAAAATTTGGAGCTGTCACATGCTAACTGTGCTCCTCTGCTTCCTGTTGGCCCCTTTTGTGCCTTTTGTGTATCTTCCTCAGGGGTAGAGTGAGGGGCAATGGGTTCATGTGGGTAACACCTAGCACAGTGCCCCCAGTGCCTGTGGGAATAGGAGGCGGCCATTTGCCATTGTGAGGAGGATATAGTAATGCTGCTGTTTCTAAACCTAGTGGTGGGCGAAAGAGGCTGGAGGAGGTTCTTGCAGGTGATAGTTAAATGGGTGTGTGTGTGTGTGTGTGTGTGTGAAAGAGAGAGAGAGAGCAAGAAAGAGAGAGAGAGCGCTGTACTGGGGCTTGAACTCAGGTCTCACACTCTTGTTTGGCATTATCCCACTAAGGCTGGTGATCCACCACTTGAACCACAGCTCCATTTCCGGCTTTTTGGTGGTCAGTTGGAGATAAAAGAGTTTCATGGGCTTTTCTGTCAAGACTGGCTTTGAACTGAGACCCTCAGTTTTCTCAGCCTCCTAAATAGCTAGGATTACAGGCAAGAGCCTGCTTGCCTGGAGATATTATTTTATTTATTTATTTATTTTTGGATCCGGTCATGGAGCCTGAACTCTGGGCCTGGGCACTGTCCCTCAGCTCTTCAGCTCAAGGCTAGCACGCTACCACTTGAGCTACAGCGCCACTTCTGGCTTTTTTTTTTTTTTTTCTGCTTATGTGGTGTTGAGGAATGGAACCCAGGGCCTCAGGCATGCAAGGCAAGCGCTCTACCACTGAGCCACCTTCCCAGCCCAGTTCCAGGCCTCATGAAAGCCAGCCTTCATTAAAGAAGCTGTTAGCTTTGATGTCCCTTCCTGTTTTATGTCCTGGAATGTTTAAGTCTCTACTGGAGGACCTACACGGAAATTAATTTAGAGCCTGTGTAATTTAACACCTGGTCGCTGTGCACAGCCCAGTGAACCAATCGTGCCAGTGAGCTTGTCCCCAGGGCAGCCAGGCCATTTGTGCCTGAAGCCAGGTACCCTGCCCTGGCAGTCAGGGTGTGAATGTGGTAGATTCAGAGTGATCCTTGTTGTATTGCTGAGTGAGGTACAATGTGGAAGATGCTGCTGCTGTCTTGGGGCTCTGATCCTGCCTGTCCCTCCTCCCCTGCTTATAGAGCTTGTCCTGTGGCCCTGCCCCAGGCCTGTTTGTGTGCTGTTGTCTGTCAGTGCTTCTTAGGATCCTTCAGGACACTTCCCCATCCTGTCACTTGCTTTGACTGGACCTGCTTCCTGTGAGGAAGACTGTCTGAGACACAGAGTCCTGGGAGGCTCAGGGATGTTGGGCTCATGGTTTACAATCGCCAGCTGGACAGGGCGATTATTCTGCCCTCTGGTCCTGGCCCTGGGCCTGGGGGTGGGGAGAGCCAAGTGAGAGGGTGGGGGTCTCTAGTCTTGGCAGGGCCAGCCATGGTGAAGAAGGGGCCTGTTTCATTGACCTAGCGACATTATCAGTCAGATAACTTGTGTCCATTAGGATTGTGTGTCATGGTAGTTGACTGACTCCTAGGCTTAGTTACCCTCCCCAGTCACCCAATAAGGGGCCAGGAAGTAAGAGGGCCAGGCAGCCCACTGAGCCCCACCAGCCCTCAGGCTGTGCGCCTCCATGTCACTGTCCCCAGAGCAGCAGGGCTTCCCGGATGACCACAGGTTCTCTGGTGGAAGAGAAGTCCCAGAGAGAACCCAGAGGCACTAGGAAGGTGCCCCTTGATTTTGCTCTGTTTTATAGAACTCTGCGCATCACCCAAGGGACAAGCTTGCCTTGTTGGACCAGGCCACACTGACATATTTTTCACCTCATTATGGAAATGTTACTTTTCCCCATAATTTAGAGAAGGAAACTCCAGGTGGATTCTTCTTTTTTGCCTGCTATTTCCTGAAAGTCATGGTTTCCTTGCTCTCTCCAGAGCCAAGATTGATGCCGCTCTTGCAGGAGGATGACCACCACCAGCGGCTGCTCATCGGCCTGGTAAGTGGGTTCCAGGTGTGGCAAACAGCAGGCCCCAAGTAGAAGAAGGAATGGCTAGTTACTACCTCTCTTTCTGATCATATTTTCTGCTTATTTGAACAAATAATTGTTGCCAGCTCTGTAGTCCCTATAGGTCTAGTGATAAACCATACATACATGATTTCTGCACCCCATCCCCACTCCTTTTTTGTGCTAGTATCAAGGTTTGAACTCAGGGCCTTTGTGTTTTCACTTTGCTTTTTTTCCCCCTCATAACTAGAACTCTACTACTTGACCCACACCTCCCATGCATTCTCCTAGTTAATTGGAGATAAAAGTTCATCCACTTTTCTACCTGGGATGACTTTGAACCTTGACCCAACAAGCTTTTATTATAGGCATGAGCCACTGGCAGCTGCAATTACTGTCCTCTTGGGAGTAAAGATTAATTAATCGTACCAACGAATACATAATCACATAAATGGTGTGTGCCCAGGAACATACAGTCAGAGATACTAATTTTAGTTTGAATCTTTAGTGTGTAATCAATAAAATACTTAAAATCAATGTGGAAATTTTAAATAAAGAATTAATGAGTAAGTATTTGGAAAAAAATTCCAAGTAAATTAGTTTCTTCCTACCTAAAACATACCACCATTTATGCTACAAATAAGCAAAAATTTCAATTCTTTAAAGGAATTTATTACAAGAAATTAAACCATATAAAAGAATATGAATTAAATAAGGAGAGAAACAATACTGAAATAGAGAAAGCTATTAAAATATTATGGAACATAGATAAGAAAAACAGATTTGAGTGACTAAAATCCTAAACAACAGACAACAATCATAAAGCTAAGTAAGAAATATGGAAAACGATGTGTAACAAATGTGATAAATGATTGCCTTTGGTAAATAAAGTTGATAAATCATTAACAAAATGGTATACCATTCCAAGGGAAGTAATGAATCAATTTTCCAAAGTAAATGGCCAAAATGTCTAGATTGGGGAGGACATAGAAAATGGTTGGCATTAGCAATCCTATGACAAATAGCACAAATAAGTTTCTTTGTTTTTGTTAGCTGGCTATCAAAATGGCATATATTTAAAATTTATACTAGCAAAGAAAGAGGTATAGGGTCTGGCTAGTCCCCTGAAAGGTGCTGTGCACAGCAAAGTGGCCCTAAGAGGCACTATGGTAGTAGCTTAGAAGTCTTAAGTCCTCAATCCAGCAAATTGCATTTCTAGGAACGGAAATGGGGATATAGCAAATTATTTTCTAGAATTTATTCCTGTGGTGGTGGTATTAACAATAGTAAAAATATGTCTCACAAGAAAGGAATAAATCAATACTAGAACTTTCATAACACACTATACAACATTGAAAACCGTGTGATAAAGAACACTAGCATAGGAAAAATAATACATGAAGAAAAGGTTATAAAACTTTAGAATGGGGGGGGCTGGGAAGGTGGCTCATTGGTAGAGCGCTTGCCTTGCATGCATGAGGCCCTGGGTTCTATTCCTTAGCACCACATAAGCAAAAAGAAAAAAGCTGGAAGTGGCGTTGTGGCTCAAGTGGTAGAGTGCTCGCCTTGAGCTGAAGAGCTGAGGGGCCAGAGTTCAGGCCCCATGACCGGACCCCCCCAAAAAAAACAACTTTAGAATGGGTTTACATACCAGAGCAAAAGGTAAAGGACCCCAAATAAATGGTGGTCAGTCTGATCTGTTACAGGTGTGAATGGGTAGATTATGACTTATCTAACACATATCCTGTTTTCAGATGGTGTCCGAGCTGAAAGACCATCTTTTGAGACACCTACAGGGAGTAGAAAGGAAGAACACTGAACAGATGGCTCTGGACTACGTTTCCAAACTGGTTGGTTTTGCTTTTTCTCCTTGTCCCCCCTGACTCCCTGTCCTGGGTATAATCCTCAGAATGTGGGTCAGGGAGCCATTTGTATGTTTCTCAAATTAGGTTCGAAAAGATCTCCCAGCTTCCAATCAGTAGATTCGGCGCTACAGATTGAGGGAAGGGAAGTGAGAACAATGAACAAAGAGAACTTGTTGATTGCCCTCCCCAAGCTCGTGGGGGCATAGAGCAATAAATTGAGGATGGTTGCCAAATCACCTTATGAAACAGTAGACATGATTCTTTACCTGGAAGTCTATGAATACATGAGAGAACTTGAACCACAATTCTTAACTAGTGTCAACAGTCCAATTAGGCCAGAATCCAGCTTGTTGTATAAATATTACCACATTGGAGTCTGCTGATATGCTGGTAGCCAGGTATTAAAGTTGTATGATACAGAACTGGGCATGGTAGCTCATGCCTGTAAGTCCGACTTGTTTGAGATCATCCCAGACAAAAAGTGAGACCATCTCAACAAACAAGGTGGGTATGGTGGTAGAAGTAAAATCCCATCCATTCAGGAGGTGTAGCTAGGAGGCTCAAAATCTGATGCTTGCCTGAGCAAAAACACAAGATCTTATCTTAAAAATAGGGGATGGTTCAAATGATAGCAATGTATAGCAAGTGTAAAGGCCTGTATTCAAATCTGGTAGCACCAGAATAAAAAGAAAGAAAAGAAAAGAAGAAATTGTATGGTACAAATTAGATTCACACCAGTTCCCAGGCAAATTTTTAAGAAATGATGTAATGAAGTTGAGTTTTAAAGTTGTCTTAGGCCTTTTAAAAAGCATGGAGTTGAGGTGCGATCTTATTTTGGAGCTGGATCATTTGGAACTAAAACATTTATACAGAAATAGAAAAATGCTTCCTTATTTCGCCAAGTTTGGGTAAGACTGGTATGCAAATGAGCCAGTGTGTGAGCATATATTTGTGTGGTGACCTTTGGAAAATGAGTTAGGTTTATTTGCTAGGACTGATTTAATTTTTTCAAGCTTAAAAATTTCAGCCTGTATTGTAGTCCTTCATGTCTGTTTTTAAAAACATTTGAATCTCTATTGGAAGATTCAAGTTTCATAATTCATACTATATTAGGAGAAGTTGGGTATTTTTGTATCCTGAGTTTCATGATCAGGGCACGGAAACATTTCTTCTTGCCAGTAGAACTGTAGCAAAGAGCTCACTTTAGGAACACATGGATGATTTGCCCCTTGTTGACCCACTTGCTTTCTTGGTCTTCTGCCTTTTTTTTTTTGTGCCAGTCCTAGACTTAAACCAAGATCCAGGGCGCTGTCCCTGAGCTTATTCAGCTCCCGACTAGTGCTCTACTACTTGAGCCACAGCTTCACTCCCCTCACCCCCTTGGTGATTACTGTAATTGGAGATAAGAGTCTCATGGACTTTCCTGCTGGACTGGCTTTGAGCCATGATTCTCAGATCTCAGCGTCCTGAGTAGCTAGGATTACAGGTGTGAGCCAACAGTGCCTAGCTTTTTCTGCCTTCTAAAAGTAAAAATATTGGATCTTCCTTCTGTTGACTTCAGATTTTGCTTTCCAAAGTCTTAAGAAGGGCTCTCATTCAAGCATCACTTCTTAAGTGCATTAAAATTTTGATACTAGTTTGTGTTAACCCTTTAACTCAGAAGCTCAGTGTCTGACTTGTTCCTCATTGAAGGCAAATGTCTCTGCCTGGCCTGGCAGCAACCAGCAATGTCTCCTCTAAGGAAAGTAGCTGGCAGTCTTCCTAAACTGTAGCCAAGGACGTTGCCACAGAACTTGATTATATTGTTTACATATTTTCTTGATTCCAACCAGAGACAAACTGAGACTACATCAGTGAGCACAATGCTGGCTTGCTGCACATCTCTGTAGATCCCTCCACAAGTGCAATGTACCAATTCATGGTGGATAGTGCTGTGGAGACTGCCCTTCTGCTAATAGGCTTCTTGCAAAATTATATTGGTTCTGGGATAAAGCCTAGGGCACAGAGGCTCTCTACCTTGGTCGATATGGTTCTGACTGAATGAGCACCAGCTTTTAGGAAGCAGGCTATCTAACTTTTACAACAGCCCCATTGAGCACTTCCCCATTATTGTGCAGAAGAGGACACTGAGATCTGGGAGGAGAGGTGACTTGCCTAGGTAAGGCAACTACATAGCCTGGACTTGTGTGTACTGCTTGTACTCACAGATCATGCTCACCACCACTGTGCCACACGGTCTTCGTTCTTCTAATCCCAGCTCCTGGCCTTCAGTGTCACAGGCCTAGAGTAAAACCAGTGGCACTTGCCCTTCCTTGATGGGTGAGGGACTGTAAATGTGAACGGTGGGGGCAGTTAGTTGGGCTGGGGAAGCCAAGCGGGGCATCGCCCACGCAGACAGAGGGGGCTCTGTTACAATCTGGGTCACATTTGCAGTCTTTCCAATGTGGATGTCAGTGCCTCTGAATTGACCTCTGAAAGGCTGATTGTGTGTTGTGTGTTCAAATGCCAGCTGCCCCGAATGTGTGGGTCAAAGCTGTAGAGGAACAGCTGGAGGGCCAAGTGGAAAAGAAGATGAGTGTGGCTAACGGGTTATCTTCATCCTCTAGCTGGATCTCATTTGCCGCATCCTGGAAAGTGCCTGGAGGAAACACAAGCTTAACCCTTGGGTTCTCCACTGGTATGCCAGTTTCTTCCCCTCCCCTTCATTGTGGCGGATGAAGAGTTGACAACTCTGATAGCTGCCTGCTTATGCAAAGTCCTTTTGAAATTTACTGCTTCAAAGCACTTACCACCAGCTCTAGCAATGTCTACTGTAGTTTATTTATTTTTACCCAGAATTTAAAGGAGGGGGGACACATGAATCTGGTACTACATGAAAGGGAATTTAGTTGATACAACTTATAATTCTATTCATTGATTGATTGACCGATAGAATCTTACTTTGTAGCCTAGCCTGGTCCTTTTGTTGTTGTTGTTGTTGGTCATGGGGCTTGAACTCTGGGCCTGGGCGCTGTCCCTCAGCTCTTCAGCTCAAGGTTAACACTCTACCACTAGAGCCACAGGGCCACTTCTGGCTTTTTCTGCTTATGTGGTGCTGAGGAATCAAACCCAGGGCCTCATGCATGCAAGGTAAGCACTCTACCACTGAGCTGCCTTTCCAGCCTCCTAGCCGGGTCTTGAATTTGTGAACCTTCTGCCTCTGGGTAATGAGTGTTAGAATTATAGATATGTGCCATTCTGCCTGGCACAACTTATAATGCATGAGCTTACTGCCCTGGGTCAATTCTAGGGCTTGGGCTGATGGTCAGTGTCACCTGCATGTGTCTTTTCATGGGATACAGAGTTTCATGACTATTGTGAATCCTTGGTGGCTGGGGCCCGCAAGCTTTCAGAGATGTGCTCCAAGGCTGACATGCTGATTTGTTACTTTTACCCAGCAATAGGCGTAACAGTGCTGCTGAGTTTGCAGTCTTTCACACCATGACCAGGATTTTGGAAGCTACCAGCAGTTTGCTTTTACCTCTGCCTCCTGGTGAGTCTTGGCTCCTTAGACTTTTGGTATCTTGACAATGTTCTTTCCTGTTCACATGGTTCCCAGATGTTATAAATTCCACATACATGATAAATTCCACAATGAGACTTGTGTGCTAGTCATTGTGTGTCTGGTGTCACTGAGAGATGGGAACTGAGGTTGCTTTCTGCTGCCCAGATTTCTCCTTACTGAGAAACTATGCTGCAGCTTGTCATTCCTTTTTGGGGGAGCCCCTGCTGGTTCCCTGACATTTTCAGTGGATGTTGTTTCTCATGAACATGGTTAAAGGTAATTGCTTTTCCAACTTTCCTGGACAACTGGCTCCTGTCTCAGACATTTAGCCTGGGCATACGGAGTCTGAAACGTTTCCATTTTCTTTTCTGTTTTGCTATAGAATTCTGAACATATTAAACTGTAAAATCTTTCTTTTTTTCATGGAGTAAGCCTTGCCTTCATTTTGCCTAAGAAGGGATCGATCCAAAGGCAAAAATATATACTTGGAACTTTATTCCCAGTATGATATTTAGTTGTGATAATACAAAGAAGGAAATGTGAACCTTTTCTTTAAAGAATTTAGTAGACTGAAGGCCCCAGCACTAAACTCAACTAAGTCATCATTCAGTAACATGATCAAATCTGTCCCCCTAGAAAGGTTGGAAATACTGGCTGATTCTTTGTTCCCTCACTCTAGGATTCCACACTCTGCACATGATCCTTGGGGTCAACTGCCTCCCTCTGCATAACCTACTACATTACGTTGATAATGGAGTGTTGCTGCTCACGGAGACAGCTGTCACACGGCTCATGAAAGGTCAGAGGCTCTACAGAGTGCACATTCCAACCTGGGCAACCCCATGGCTCACTTCCTGGAGTGTGCTACATAGAGGGTCTGGCTAACACAGAAGGGTCCCATGCTTGGGGTCTACTGCTCTGCAATAACTCTTGAAATTCTTAATATTTGACACATAGCTCCTCATTTTTGTTTTGCCCTAAGTACCACCAATGATGCAAATGGTCCTGTTGAGTACATTCCATTTCCTGGAAGCATCCTTTGAGTCTATTTGAAATGACTTTTTTCTCCAAGAGACCCCAGACAGCTCTTAGGTTGCTTTTATTTGTATAAGAGGGCACTTGAGGCTAGGAGTCTCTTAAGTTGATTGCCCATAAAAGTATAATGAAATAGCTTACTTTCATCTGATTAACTCTGTCATCTCTAAGTTTGACTTGAAATGCAAGAAAAGCTAATGAGAGAGGTGCAGTGTTTATGGGCATTTGACCTTTGAGTGAGATCGCTAGTGGAATCACTCTCACTTCAATGATCAAAGTGTGTGGTATTTTAATAGCTGAGTTGTGCTAGTATAGACTAAAGCATTTGCCATTCCTCAAAGTATATTCTGTTTTAAGTTTGTCAGATGTCTATTTAGCCACCAACTAAAAGTTTTAAAGCCTTCTGAGATTAGCCTGAGAATGCAAAGTTGGAATATATAGTATCAGGATAAACTACTCAGAAATTAAAAACTTGATGAGGGATATAACTGGATTTTTTGTCTTATTTGCCAATCTCTCACTTTCTCATAGATCTGGACAACACAGAGAAAAATGAAAAACTAAAATTCGGCATTATTGTACGGCTTCCTCCGGTAATCGGAATTTTATTTTCCCTTAAGCCTTGGCACATCCTTCTCCAATTTCTTCTTTCAAGAAGAGCATTCACTGGCTTTTGGAACATTCTTTCTTTTTTTTTTCAGCCTTTTCCAAGAAACCTTATCTGCTCCCACCCCTCTGCTGGTTGTCCCCACTGGACCTAGAATATGCTACTCACTGAGAACAGCTAGTCATTTTCTCCTCTTAGGAAACCACACTAATATTTACGTTTGAGTCTGAGTAGGAGAGAGAGGGGAAACATGTGCTTTCACTATTTAAACTGATAAGCAATTTAAATACAGGTGAGGTCAGGAGGTTCTGGAACTACATTTCCTCTGCCCACATTTCTGCCTGTAGGGAAACATTCCTAGTCAAAGGAAGAATGAGAAACATATGGGAAAAGTTAGAAAGGCACTCCTTGTTTCCTTTTTTTCCTTTGTGGGAGATGTTAGCTCTCTGAGTCAGAAATACTATTAAGACTATGAAAGCCCACAGGCTTTTGAACCTCGGAGTTTGCAAACTTCCTCCTCCCAGGAGTCTGGACTGCCCCGTCTTGTTTACCTTCTTTGAACACTGTACCTCTGGCACAGGTTTCTTTCTGTAGAGACATTCAGTTTTCTTCACCCCAATGGATGTCCATTGGCTTTCTGGACCTAGTGTTCGTGCTTTGTATCAGTCCTCCCCATCCTAGGCTTTCTGAGTTCAGCAAAGAACACAGAAACTATTTTCTGAGGCTGTCTCTCTGGGGGAATGTTGTAGAACATTTGGTTTGGTCTCCAATTTTGACTTTTTTTGCCCCAGACACTTGGAGGAATTAAATTCCCCCAAGAATAGGCAAGACTATGGCAGAGAAATTGCTACAAGTCTGCCTGCAAGGCTGATTTTTTTGTTAACATGTCACTTAGGGTTTGCATCCCCATCTCCAGCTTTGATGAGTAGTAGCAGCAGCAAAATCTGGCAGCCTCAGTGTATAAACTGCTTTCTTCATAGCAACATTTGAGAATACTCACTCAGAATTCAGAAGCACACCTTCACAGCAACATGGACTTTTCCCACCAGCTGCTAGTCATGAAGGGCCTGTCTTTACAACTACCTACTTTGGACTGAGGTTTGAAACTATGGAGATGAGCTACCTAATGAACAGGGAGATAACAATCTTCTCTAATACATGTTTTAATCTTTTTTTTTCTTTTGTCCATCGTGGGGCCTGAACTCTGGGCCTGGGCGCTGTCCCTCAGCTCTACAGCTCAAGGCTAGTGTTCTACCACTTGAGCCACAACACCACTTCCAGCTTTTTCAGCTTATGTGGTGCTGAGGAATCAAACCCAGGGCCTCATTCATGCGAGGCAAGCGCTCTACCACTTCCCAGCCCCCATGTTTTAATTTTTACAATAGCTTATTGGTCAGAAGATCTGCCGACTTTGGGATCATCCTGTGAGTTCCAACATCATTTCGAGGAACCACGTGACGCGACTGCTCCAGAACTATAAGAAACAGGTGACTCAGATCCCACCTGCCCATTCTAACGTGTCCACACGGACAGACATTCTACTTCTTATCACTTCCTTTAAATTTGGGTTTGTTCTAGAGGCTCAACTAATAGCACACATGGTTTCCCTTTAAGGCTCAGAATTCTGTGATCAAAAAGTCATCATTCACTGTGGAATTTTTGCCTCTCAACTACTTCATTGAAATTCTGACCCATCTAGAGTCCTCCAATCAAGGTAATTCACTCTGCTTACTTTCCTCTTTATCCCCTTGACCCATGTCCCTGTTTCTGGTTTTCTTCCTCATATGCTCCTTACTTATGAGCAGATCCTCACTGAAATTGATTTTCATTAGCAATTATAAGTCAGGTGCCAGTGGTTCCTGCCAATAATACTAGTTTTTCAGGAGGCTGAGATCTGAGGATCGTAGTTTGAAGTCAGTTTGAACAAAAAAGTCTATGAGGCTCTTCTTTCCAATGAAAAAACTGGAAGTGGAGCGGTGACTCAAGTGATAAGAGTACTAGCCTTGAACAATAAAGCTTAGGGACAGGGCCCAGGCCCTGAGTTCAAGCCCCAGGACCAGCACACACACACAAAATCCAATTACAATAAGCTTCTTAAGTTACCAAAGGAATAATTAGTTTTAAAGTTTTAAAGTGTTTAGCAGACTTAATGCATGTTTGGTTAATGTGAAGTCTCTTTCTTAGTGCTGAAGTATACTCTGTATTCTCAGAAAAACATGTTTTACTACAATATAAAATAATAATAAGCAAATGGGCTCATAATGGGCTCCATGGTGATCACATACATACTCTCTCTCTCTTTTTTCTCCTGCCAGCTCTGTGTGATTTTGAGGGCCATGACAACGTGGATGCAGAATTTGTAGAAGAAGCAGCACTGAAACACACTACCATGCTTTTAGGTTTATAAAAGAGAAAATGCTTCCAATTTTAATAGTCCTCATTGGCCTTATGCCTGCTGGGAATTCTTTTGCAATATTTATCATTGGAATGTACTACTCAGCCATCTAAGTTTCACACTGATACTCATTCTAATTTTGAGATAAGCAGTCAAGCATAAGAAGACACACAACGGTATAAGCAGTCCTCTTTCTAGTGGTTTAAGAGGCCAAAAGTTGGTCTGGGAAGGTGGCTCAGTGGTAGATGCTTGCCTTCTTTGCCTGAGGCCTTGGGTTTGACACCTTAGCACCACATAAGCAGAAGAGGCTGAAACTGGCGCTGTGGCTCAAGTGGTATAGCGCTAGCCTTGAGCTGAAGAGCTGAGAGATAACGCCCACGCCCAGAGTTCAAGGCCCATGACCAAAAAAAAAAAAAAAAAAAAGAGGCCAAAAGTTAGTATTGATTGCACTCTGAAATAAAATTGACATTAAAAGTTCAGGACTGAGCACTGAAACTCATACTTCTAGTCCTACGTACTCAGTATGTTGAGATTTGAGGACTGCAGTTCCAAACCAGTCCAGTCCAAAATCAATTGATTCATCTCCAATTGACCAGAAAGAAGTGGAAGAGGAGGCGTGGAGCTATTGCTTCTGGTAGAGCACCAGTCTTGAGGGAAAAATACAAGTAAGAGCATAAGGCCCTGAGTTCAAGCCCCAGTACCTGCACACATACACACACACACACACACACATTTATGAAAGTGTTTAGAACACACACACACACACACACACACACACACACACACACACATTTATGAAACAGTGTTTAGAAGAGCCGAACTAGTTGCACCACTGAAAATCACATGGAAAAAGCAGAAAAAAATCACACCTGCTTTTCCAGTACAGGGTGATTTATAACAAGGAATAATGTGTATATATAGTGTTTAAATAGTTTTGGTGATAGTTCAGATAAAACTATTTAATTTTTATATTTATAAAGTTAGTAATATTGTTATTAAAAAAAGACTCAAATGCTGAAAGGTTTGGTCTATTTTCTGAGCAAGATTTGAGTGAAGGGGGCTGGGAATGTGGCTTAGCATTAGAGTGCCTGCCTAGGAAGCCCTGGTTCAATTCCTCAATATGACACAAACAGAAAAAGCCAGAAGTTGCATTGTGTCTCATGTGGAGAGTAGCTAGCCTTGAGCAAAAGCTGCTCAGGGACAGTGCCCATGTCTTGAGTTCAAGCCCCAGACTGCTAGTTTATAAATATTCATTTTGGTGAGATTTTGAAAAATCTGAAATAAATCGATTCTTATTAAAAGGACAATGTCTTGTTATGACATTGCTTGGGAGATGATCAGATTCACACTGCTTTTTACATGATTTAGATTTACTAGCAGGATCTTCAGGTGTCACGTGGACAGCGAATTGTGCCTTTGTGATACTTGGTGTATTCCTGTTGTGGATAGTTGTTCTGACCTTTTAAAGTGCACTTTTCTGAAATAGTATTTATTTTTTAATAGACAAAGATGACTCAGTTTCTGTATCTCTTTGACAAGTTATTTATTTTTTACAGTTACAGCACTTGGCTTACTATGTATTTCTGAAATGTAATCACTAGAAAGAAATAAATGAGCAATTGAAACAGATGCATTGACATACTTGTGGGAGCATCCTGTGTCCCACGGAATGTCATGTGGGATGTAGGTCGTGCGTGTCAGAGGAACGCTGTGGCACTCTGTGGTTGGCTGTGGTCCCTTATGGATCTGTAGTGCTTAGCACAGTTGTGCTCACGTTGTCTGGCCATAGGTGTGAGGGAGCCTGGAGAAGTCCTGTCTTTTGGAAGCGGGGGTTGGCTCACATATTCAGATCTCGATTTGCTTTATAACTGGTTTTCTGATGTGCCTCATGTTGGCTCCAGGCTCACTAGGCTTGAAAGGAGCCAGGGAGCCGTATGGTTTTGGCAGCGGAAGTATGGCCTCTGCATTGGGGATGTAGGCATTTGGACGCTGCTCTGCGGTTGTGTACACGCCACTGGGCAGCAGGCGAGTCTCTGTTTCAAACAACTCCTGTAAAGGGAACGTTTTCCTTTTAGTTTTCTGAAAACTGTAAACTTTCTTCATCCTTGGATCATAAAGGGCGCAGCTGGGTCTGACACCTTTAGGCTGTCCTGGCTGATATGCACCAAAGGGACGGGTGGCAGGATGTGGGAATCCCCCTCCCGCCCCTCGCCCCATCTTATATCCAGGGCAGGAAAATCTGTGAGACTATTATCTTGAATTAACCAACAAAAAGCAGAAGTGGAGCGGTGGCTCAAGTGGTAGAGCTCTTGCTTAGTGCAAAAAAGCTCACACAAGGTCCAGGCCTCCAAGTTGAAGTCCTAGGACCATCATAACCACCACCACAACAAAACCTGCTCAGAGATTGGGCTGTTCTCAATTGGTAGAGTGTTTGCTTAGCAAGCAAAAGGCCCTGAGCTCAATCCTGGTACCACCATTTAAAAAAAATCATGCTCTTTCTTCTATGACAGGCATAAACCTTTAGGCTAGACATGATAGTTCATGCCTGTAATCCTAGATCCTTGAGAGGTAGAGAATAGAGATCACAGAAGCCAGCCTAGACAAGAAGTTAATGGGACCCTGTTTCAAAACAACAACAACAAAACAAGCCAGGAATGGTGTTTTATGCTTGTAATTACAGTTACTCAGAAGTTAGAGATAGGAGAATCTCGGTCTAAGGCTAGCCTGGGCAAAAGTGTGGAACTTTAGTTTTCAACAAAATTAAACAGGGCCGAGAGCATGGCTAAGACTACCTGTGTAGCAAGCGTGAGGCCCTGACTTCCAACCCCAGTACTTAAAATCAAACTAAAAACAAACCTCACTCTTCGATGGGTTCTAAATATATTACATTCCAACTTCAATATCAAGCCTTTACTATTTCTACATGTTGTTCAAAGGCAGGATTTTTTTCCCTTTAAGTCACTGATGAACAAGAAGAGATATAGAATGAAGTATACTGGGCAGTGGTGGCTCATCCCTATCATCCTAGCAATTCAGGAAGCTGAGATCTTGAGGATTATGATTCAAAGCCATGCCAGGCCAAAAAGTCTACAAGACTCTGTCTTCAGGGTAATAAGCAAAAAGATAGGCTGGAGGCATCACCCAAGTGGCAAAGTGCCAGCCTAGAAAACAAGTCTAACAAGCAGGAGTCCCTGTGTTCAACTTTAGAGACTGGCAAAAAGAAAAAAAAAGGTAAAGTGAAATCAGAGAACAAAATAGTACTGAGCTTCCAGGTTTTCATATTCTTTTTTTTTTTTTAGTTGGTTGTGGGGCTTGAACTCTGGGCCTGGGTGCTGTCTCTCAGCTTTTTAGATCAAGGTGAGCACTCTACCACTTGAGGCATAGCGCCATTTCTGGTTTTCTGGTGGTTTATTGGAGATAAGACTCTTATGGACTTTCCTGCCTTGGCTGGCTTTGAACAATGATCCTCAGATCTCAGCCTCCTGTGTAGCTAGGATTACAGGCTGAGCCACTAGTGCTTGGTTAGGTTTTCAATATTCTGCCCGTGCTGTGGAAAGTAATCTTCTATGGCACTATAAAGAACACTCCATGATGGACAGGTAAATAACAGGGCACCACAGGTAAAATCTGACTGCCCCCTGAAAGGATAGTGGCAGGTAGCATGGAAATCACAAGTCAGACTCTGTGCCTAGGTATTCCTAGTATGTGTTTGGAATATGCCTTTTTCTTAGGTTGGAGACGGAATCATGATATCTTAGAGATATCTATCTGACAGCCTGGGAGTAAACTCCCAGGATGTGGCTGCTGTTCACAGGTCATGGTAGATCCATTGATCCACTGATAGACCAAGTGGTATGCAGGGGCCTATAGGTATAGTGTCTATGGAGGCTGTGGCAGCCACAAGAGACCTGGAGACCTCACAATATACTGTGGAGGCCAAAGCATATGAACATGGAGGAGTTAAGCATGAACTGAGCAAACGTTTGATGCGAAGTAGAGACTCATGGATAAAGCCAACGCCAACCTGGTCACAGCCAGGCTGGGAGAGAGGTCAGGATGTTCAGCCACACCAGCCCAGGATTTTACACTGTGGGAATGGACTTGATGATTGTCAAGCATTTTTTAGAGAGGGTGATGGACCTTTGGACTACTATAATTTGGACTAATTTGCACAACTTCCTTTCTTCCTTCCTTCCTTCCTTCCTTCCTTTCTTCCTTCCTTCCTTCCTTCCTTCCTTGCTTGCTTGCTTGCTTCCTTCCTTCCTTCCTTGCTTCCTTCCTTCCTTTTCTTCTCTCCTTCTTTTTCTTTCTTTTGCCAGTATTAGGCCTTGAACTCAGGGCTTAGGTTCTTCCTCTTAGCTTTTTTTTTCCCCTCAAGGCTGGCACTCTATCTCTTGCTTTTTGGTAGTTAATTGGAGATAAGAATCTCATGTACTTTGCTACCCAGGCAGGCTTTGAACTGCAATCCTCGGATCTCAGCTTCCAGAGTGGTAGGATTACAGGTATGGACCTCAGATGCCTGGGGCAAGCCTTATTTCAAATGATTACTGGGACTATGTGTGTGGTAGAGGGGGATTTTACCTATATAGGCTGACATCCTAACAAAAGAAGCCCTGAAACTGGAAATGCCCCAAAGTTCTAAACTTTTTGAGCTCTGACATGAGCTGTCACAAATCTAAAATTCCATACTTGATGTCATGTGATAGATTACAGCCAAAACACTGTACTACAGAATATTATATAAAATCAACTCTAAGTCTGGAAATAAGATGTATATAAAATACTAATGAGTTTTGGGTTTAGATTTGCTCCTCTCCTCAAAATACCTTATTTTATATATAGGCAAATATTCCAAACTCAGATAATTCAAAATACATGTGGTCCCATTCACATAAGGGGTAAGTCAACATATATCACCAGAAGATTGCTGCTGGGAAAATAGCCCTTCCACATTTTATACAGTGGGAGCCAGAGCTTACCCGAGATGACTCAGTGGTGGACAACAGGTGCATTTCTTCATCTCGAAGGACTTTCAGCCATTCTCTTTCAATCTGTTTATTAAGTGGCAGACCTTTCTCTATCCTGGAGGTACAGGTGAAGATGAATTCCTCTTTCTCTCTGACTTCCTTTTGGAGTTCAATAGTCAGGGCTTGTTTCATGGACAGCTCAGCAACAAGAGCCATCATTTTTTTAGTAGTGTCTTTGATCCTTTTTTGGTAGCCATTCATCTAGAATTATAGAGCCCAATGCTTAGTGGATACAAACACTCCATGATGAAAATAGCAGACTGTTAGCTATGTATAATGGTGGGGGTACACCATTCATGCCTGGAGGAATCTCAGTTTAGGGAACTCATACATAATAATAATTGAAAGAGATATAGGGTTGAAACCAATATGAGTAAGGACAGAGAAAAAAGAAAACAAATCAACCAGTTACTAGATGTGAAGGTGGATGGCATTGAGGGGAATTGGTTGGTACCTACCTTTATGAGGTAAGAAGGAGAGGGAAAAGAATGTTCTTGAGCCTAGGACCTGATCTGACTGCTGTGTTAGCTTATTACTTAGCCAGCCATGATAGGGCTGTCTGGGCCATGTTAAAGTGGTCATCATTTGCAAAGCTCTGGCATTAGGGGTGCCTTCTGCCCCTAATGACTCTCACTGAAAAAATTGACTCTCATGAAAAAATAACTTCCCTATGAGCAAGGGAAATTCATTTTTCAAAAGGAAGGAAGGCATCATTCACAGAAATATGGGTGTGCTAATTCAGGCAAAGTTCATGAACGTAGACAACTCTTAGTGTTTCTTTTTTCTTTTCACTGGCCCTAGAGCTTGAACTCAGGGACTGTCCCTGAGCCTCTCTGAGCTCAAGGCTAGCACTCTACCACCTGAGCCACAGCACCACTTCCAGCTTTTTCTGAGTAGTTTATTGGAGATAAGAGTCTTATGGACTTTTCTGCCTGGGTGGGCTCCAAACCACAATCCTCAAATCTCAGCCTCCTGAGTAGCTAGGATTACAGGTATGAGCCATTGGCACCCTCCGTCTTTCTTATTTTATGAGGTAAAATGAATTGCACAAACGCCACCAGAATGATGACTCTATTAGTGGAAGTCACCAGAGCAAAAGTCAAATATAAATAGTGTAAGCAGCCTCAGATTTATAACTATTTTCTATCTGGTATGCCCAACATGTTCTAGTACAGGACTACTTGTTTACTTATTCATGAATGTTTTCCTAGAGTCTTGTCTATGCTAGTCATTGGGGAACTGAGAAGAATGAGGAACCATTGCTGCTCTCCAGACCTCTGGATTGTAGGAATCCTCATGATCTATTTTCTCCTGTCTCACCCCATTAGATGTTGTGAGCTTCATGTGGTATGCGCAATTCCTTCCCTCTTTGTTTCTGCTCTTTGCATTAGAGTTACATAGCAAGTATACAGTAACAAGTGCTGATATCCCTGGGCTGATGAGATACTCCAAGGGACCATAGAGGCTAAGGCTGTGGCCTACCCTCTTGTTGGTCATGGGGCAGGGTCTAGTCTTGTCTCTGGATCACTTTAAGGTAGCTTATAGCATTCTTTCCCCTCAGCAGCTCAGGTAGCTTGAAATCTCCAGTCCTAGCCTCTTAAGTTCATTCACCTAAGATACACCACATTATCTGCCTTTCTCCACTACTGGAGGTACTTTACCACTTAAGTCATAGCTCTACTCTAGATTTTTTGGTGGCTAATTGTAGATAAGAGTCACAGACCTTTCTGTCTAGGCTAGCTTCGAACCATGATCCTCAGATCTCAGTTTCCTGAGTAGCTAGAATTACAGGTGTGAGCCACTGGTGCCCAGCAAGAGCTAGAAACTAACTTTGTGCATCTTCTAAGATAATCTTTGAATACTTGTCCTACTAAATGAAATTTGTAAATTGTCATTGAAAGCTTCACTGTAAAATGAATTCTTACACTAAAACAAGATTGAAGTTTGTTTTGGACAATTTTGAGTTATATTTCCCTTTTGATTCACTTCTGTAGTGGTTAAGCCTCATCTCTCTATTGCTTCTCTCAATAAATCAAACAGTTTGGAAAAAGAAAAAGAAAGGTGGCAGAGGGAAGGGGCAGGGAGAAAAGGCCTCAGGCAGACCTTCTTGGCTAGGATCAGTGTGTCCTGTTTGCAGGCCTCAGTTTTGTTGTGAAGTCTGTCTGTGAGTCGAGACACTTGTTCATAGATGAAATTGTTTTCTAGTAACTTCTCTTCCTTCTTAGCCAGCCGCAGTTCCATCTACAGTTAAAAACAATTTCAGAAGGAAAAAGAGTCATGCAAGATATATTTTTTTTCCCTTAAGTAAAATCTTACCTGGTCCCTAACCTTCAATAAAGATGACATTATCACTTTCTCAGTTGCCAAAATACCTTGAAAAAATGTTTGAGGCTAAGTCAAGTTAAGTGTCCTGCCCTAAGACCCTTCAGATTGCTCAGTTCCCCCTCCCCCCGCCCCGCATGGTGTACCCTGTTGCTTTAGCTATCTGGTGCCCATATTGCCATTCGGAGTAGAAAGACAAGTTCATCTATCCACTCAAGAAGCCAGAATTGCTCCTTGGGCTACAAGAGGAAGATGCCTTTGATGTCTTGAAAACAACTGGATTTAACTTCTTCTGGCAAGTATCTAAATGAAACTTAGAATTTGAGACTAGATTAAAATGAAAGAACTACACAAGGGCTAGAATCATGAAGGTCAAAACGTCGGCTTGGCAGAGAATAGTATAACAGTCACCTGTGAAGTTGTAGCAACAAGGACAAACAGACAAATGACGAGTGCGTGTGTTTACCTCATCCAATTTCTTGATCATTTGTTTTTCGGTCAGATCCTTTCCCGTAAGGAGACGGGCTCTGTTCTTACCATCAGGATTTATAAACTGTTTCTCCAGGTCTTTTATTTTGTCTGTACACTGGGAAAACTGTTAAACAAGAAATAAACATTAGGGATGGGGCATAGCCCAAGTGGTAGAGTGTTGGTCTAGCAAATCTAAGGCCCCAGGTTTCCATCCCTTGTTCCTTAAAAACAAAAGCATCCCCCAAACATTAAGTTGTAAATTGAACCCTAGAGCTCAGTGAATCTTAAGATTATCTAAGCAAGCTCTTTCAGTAGGCAAGGATAGAGGAGACTTTCTTCTTAACACCCCATTACCTAAACTGGCATAAGCAGTGCTTCTGTCCACATATAGGACACGAGGAGGAGGCTAGAAGTGGATCTTCAAGAGAAGGCAGAAGACTCTGCTTTTTCTTTCTCTTGTTATAGTTCTTCCATTGCTTCCCATTGCAAGTGACAGTTGTGGATGTTGTGTAGTTGCAGAGCTCAAAACAGATGGCCTTCTTTGTTGCAGGTTATTTCATAGACCAGGGATAGGGATTTGACATGGTAGCTTCCATTTTAAAATCCTTTGCTATGGGCTGGGAAGGTGGCTCAGTGGTAGAGCGCTTGCCTTGCATGCTCGAGGCCCTGGGTTCGATTCCTCAGCACCACATAAGCAAAAAGAAAA